AAGTTCCTTGCATGGAGTTCATTCCTTAAAAGATGAAAAAGTCAACAAATAAATGACTTAACATTATATATAAAAGCCCTAGAAAAAGAAGAACAAATCAACACCAAAAGCAGTAGAAGACAGGAAATAATTAAAACGAGAGATGAAATTGAAACCAAGGAAATAATTGAAAAATTGACAAAACAAAAAGTTGGTTCTTTGAAAAAAGAAAAAATTGACTGATCCTTAGCCATGCTAATGAATAGGAAAAGAGAGAAAACTCGAATTACTAACATACATATTAAAAAAGGAAATATCACAATAGACACTACAGAAATACAGAAGATAATTAGAAATTATTTTGAATACATGTACTCCAATAAAATAGAAAATATCAAAGGCATCAGCAAATTTCTACAGTCATCTGATTTGCTAAATTGAATCATGATGATATACACAATTTAAACAGATCAATTTTAAGTTATGAAATAGAAGACTCCATCAGAAGCTTACCAACCAAGAAAAGCCCAGGACTGGGTGGGTACACAGCCACGTTCTACAAGACCTTTAAAGAACGAATTCCAATCTCCAATTCACTTCACGAAATAGAAAAAGAGGGAGCACTTTCAAACTCATTGTATGAGGTCAATATCACCCTGATTCCAAAACCAGTCACAGACACGTTAAAAAAAGAAAACTTCAGACTGATATCTCTAATGAACATAGATGCAAAAATTCTCAATAAAATTCTGGCAAATGAAATATAAAAACATATCAAAAAGATCGTACACCACAATCAAGTGGGTTCATCCCAGGGATGCAAGGTTGGTTCAACATATGGGATCAATAAATGTAATTCATCACATCAATAGACTTACAGATAAAAACCATATGATCATCTTTAATAGATGCAGAAAAAGCTTTTGACAAAATACAGCACCGCTTCATGTTCAAAACACTAAGAAAAACAACGGATAATAGAAACATATCTCAACATCATAAAAGCTATCTATGCTAAGCCCTCAAGGCAAACATCATACTATATGGAGAAAAACTGGAAGCATTCCCTCTAAAAACTGGTACAAGACAGAGATGCACTCCTTCACCACTTCTATTTAACATAGTTCTTGAAACAGTGGCCAGAGCAATTAGATGAAAGAAATTAAAGGGATATGGATAGGTAAAGAAGAATTCAAATTAGCACTATTTGCCAACAATATGATTCTCTAACTAGAAGGCCCAAAAAAAAAATCCACCAGAAAACTTCTAGAACTAGCAAATGAATTCAGTAAAGTAGGATACAAAATCAACACCCATAAATCAAAGGTATTTCTGTACATCAGTGACAAATCCTCAGAAAGAGAAACTAGGAAAACCACCTATTTACAATAGAACAAAAAAAAGAAAGAAATTTGGGAATCAATGAAAGATGTGAAAGACCTCTACAGAATAAATAAAAACTACAAAATACTACAGAAAGAAATTAAATAAGATCTTAGAAGATGGAAAGATCTACCTTGTTCTTGGATAGGCAAGAACAGGCACAATTAATATTGTCAAAATGACCATACTACCAAAAAGCATTATACAGATTTAATGCAGTTTCAATTAAAATACCGACAACATTCCTCATAGAAATAGAAAAAGCAGTCATGAAATTCATCTGGAAAAATAAGAGACCCAGAATAGCTAAAGCAATCCTTAGCTAGAAGAGTAAAGCAGGTGTCATCAATATACCAGACCTTAAACTATACTATAGAGCAACAGTAAAAGAAACAGCATGGGACTGGCACCAAAATAGACTTGTAGACCAATGGTACAGAATAGAGGACACAGAGACTAACCCACATAACTATAGTTATATTAGACAAAGGCGCCAAAAACATACATTGGAGAAAAGATACCCTCTTCAACAAATGGTGCTGGGAAAATTAGAAATCCACGTGCAACAAAATGAAATTAAACCCCTATCTTTCACCATGCACAAAACTCAACTCAAAGTAGATCGAAGACCTAGGAATTAAACCAGAGATCTTGCACCTAATAGAAGAAAAAGTAGGCCCAAATCTCCATCATGTTGGATTAGTCCCCTACTTCCTTAATAAGACTCCTATAGCACAAGAATTAAAACCAAGAATCAATAAATGAGATGGATTCAAACTAAAAAGCTTCTTCTCAGCAAAAGAAACAATCAGTGACATGAGTAGAGAACCTACAGAGTGGGAGCAAATCTTTATGACAAGCACATCAGTTAGGTACTAATCTCTAGAATATAAGCACTCAAAAGTCTTCAACACCAAAAATAATTTTAAAAAATAATCCAGTCAATAAATGGGCAAGAACCTGAACAGACACTTCTCAGAAGAGGATATACCATCAATCAACAAATATATAAAAAAAATGTTCAACATCTCTAGCAATTAGAGAAATGCAAATCCAAACTACTCTAATATTTCATCTCACTACAGTCAGAATGGCAGCTATCAAGAATACAAACAACAATAAGTTTTGGCGAGGATTTCAGGAAAAAGGCACACTCATACATTGCTGGTGGGACTGCAAGTTGGTACAGTCAATCTGAAAAGTAATATGTAGATTCCTTAGAAAACTTGGAATGGAACCACCATTTGACCCAACTATCCCACTCTTCAGTTTATACCCAAAGGACTTAAAAACAACATACCGCAGGGACACAGCCACATCAATATTTATAGCAGCACAATTCATAATAAAATAGCTAAACTGTGTAACCAACCCAGATGCCCTTCAGTAGATGAATGGATAAAGAAAATATGGTATATATACACAATGTAATATTATTCAGCATTAAAAGAGAATAAAATCATGGCATTTGCAGGTAAATGGATTCAGTTGGAGAATATAATGCTACATGAAATTAGACAATCCCAAAAAAGCAAATGCTGAATGATTTCTATGATTTAAGGATGCTGATACATAATATGCTGCAGGTGTGGGTGGTGGGGGGATTAAATGAACTCTAGATAGAGAAAAGGGGAAAAAGGGAGGGAGGGGAAGGGAGGGGACATAGGGGTAGGACAGACAGCGGAATACGATGGTCATCATTACCCTAAGTATGTGTATGAAGATATGAAGGATGTGACTCTACTTTGTATACAACCACAGATATAAAAAATTGTGCTCTATATGCATAATATGAATTGTAATGCATCCTCTTGTCATATGTAACAAATTAAAATTAAAAATAAAAAAATGAAAAAATAGAATAACAACTAAGTCATGAAATTATTATATAGAAAAAAATCGTATAGAAACATCTTTAAAAGTGGAAGTAACTGCAATAACAAGTGTTGTTGAGTATTAAATTAATTAATGTATGTAAAATATTTTTTGGTGGTACTGGGGATCTAAAATATTGAATAAATAATTATACTACTATAAGTTGTCATTGGTGGAAGTACCACCTGGCAAATAATAGGGGCTTAAAGAGCTCTTATTACTACAACTCATACAGATGATATAATTGCTTTACCAAATGTTTACTGACCAATTTATTTACAAATTTTTCAGAAATGAATGTCTTCTAGCAAATAAGTTATGCTTCTCTTATAGTCAATGATATGTTCACAGTTAAAAATGCAAAATCATTTCAGTTGTTCCTCAAAGTTAACTCAAATTTTGGCTCTTCTCTTTAGAAACAAATAGAAAAAAAAAACTGATTCCAAAATATATTTTACAACATTTAAAACTGATTTCAGACTCTTCTAGAAAACATCTACCCTAAGAGTAATAACATGTACATGATAAGAACTAGGTATTAGAGCAATTGTGAGAGAATAGGTCGATACTGACACATGGCCAATTTTTCACTGACTTGTGAAATATCAGGTTTCCTTCATTGAAATCCATACTTTTCTGCCAAAACAGTATTCTAAGGATTTTCTTTTTTTCCCTAGGGACTAATTCTTACCAGTTCTCATATTTTTTTCCACATTAATATTCAAATGCTTTTTGGCACTTGTTTGATCTTCAAGAAACTGAGATTGCACCTTTTACAGATACACATATTGGTTTGGTTGCCAAGTCTAGTAATTGCCATGTCTAGTAATCTTGTAAAATTGTGTTTCAAGGACTGGACCGTACACTGTCCCACTTAAATGAGTGAATGAAAAACTTGGCTTTGTTTTTTCATTTGGATCTTTTCCTCAGGGACCAATCATCACTTCTTCCTGGACTTCCCTTTAGGGCTTCCTGAAGCTCTTTGTTGAATCTTGATAATTCTATCCATCATCTTAATTAGCTTATAAATTCTATTTTTGTCCCCTTTTTATTCATATGGCTTAGTATATTCTATGTTGAAAATGAGAGATAGGACTCTGTTTTATTCTATGACATGATGGTATATTATTTTCCTGTGATAGTGAGAAGCAAAAACATGATCAAAAACTAAAAAGTTCCAAAATTATTTTGGCTTTTAAATAGGGTGCACGTATATTATGGACAATAATATAGGTACCATTCTAAACTGAATAATTATTAAAATTTACTTGATTCTCTTATGCAAGTGTCAGGGAATTAACAGTCATTAATTAGGTTTAGTGAACAGAAAAGCCCCTGAAATTGTATAAAAAATCAGGGATATGTGTATTTCCTGGAAAGGGTTTACAGCATTTATAAGGTTCTCAAAGGGGCCTGTGAATGACATAAGTTTAAGAACTAGTGTTCTGAAAAACACTCTCTCTCTCTCTCTCTCTCTCACAATCTCTCTCTCTCTCACACACACACACACACACACATATATATATATATATATATATATATATATATATATATAGTAAAATTGAATAATAGTAAAATATTATGTTTTAAATGTTTTTGGAAAAAATCTACAACTAATCAATTAAAAGGATGTCTTGTATTAAATAGAGCCAAAATCACTGAGAATAAAAATGAAAAGGTAGAGAGAAATTATCTCTCAAAAGAGTACATTAAAATGTAACTTATACTGGAGAAGATATAAGTCTTATAAAGAAAATACTTACTTGTTCACCACGGTGCCCTGGGAGCCCTGGATATCCTTTAAGACCCTATAAGAAAAAAGATAAAAATATAATATGAAAAGTAAACTTATATAAGTCAAATGACTAAATGTAAGTTCTATGTTTCTCTTTACTGCAACTTTTCAATTCTCTTATCAATACAAATTTAATTCTTACTAATTTATTTCTTATTAAATTTAACTTTTTATTTAATAATAACTTATATTATTAAATAGTAAATTAATTCTTATTACAATTGTTGATTCATTTTGAGTGTTGTTTGAATGATTTTTTAATCAACTAAAATCGTAGCTTAATATTTAATACAAAATAAAACACAGTATCTTTTAGAAAACATTTATACCTAGCAATGAAATTGTTAAGTTTTCTGAGGTTTTTTGTTCAGTAATGCTGAGACAAAATGCCCTAAGACATAATTTCTTATTATTGAAAAACTGGATCATATCCAGGCAGTTTCTCTAATCCACTAAATCAGTGTCATAACACTTTATCAATGAGCTAACTCAAATGAAAAAAGGCTGCTCAAAGGTTTATCAAAAACCTATACAGCCATCTAAAAAATTAGAAACAAAAAAGCAAAGTCAAATGGATAATATCTTTCTTCCTCCAGAAAGAGAAAGAAAAATGGAAAAGACAGGAAGAAGGAAATAAAAGATAACTTTAAAGCTTATCTATATGGTTTTAATCAATCATCAGAGAATTTCCCTACTGTCTCCCAGATTTTGGCTCACATAAAAGAGAAAAAAAATTCTTTTCTTTTTTTTAAATTTTTTTAGTTGTATATAAACACAATACTTTAATTTATTTATCTATCTATTTATTTATTTATTTATTTTTGTGGTGCTAAGGCTTGAATCCAGTGCCTCACACATGCTGGACAAGCACTCTACCACCAAGCCACAACCCTAGGCCCAAGAAGTTCCTTTTCTTAAGCCCCTCATAGATGCACTGATGAAAAAAAATTTTTTAAAATACCATAGAATATTTAAAAGATGTAACTCAAAAGCCTGAAATAAATCATGGTTTACAAATGTCAAAAGTGTTCCATTAGCATGCAGCAGACAAGTTTTTAGAGTCACAGAATATATGGTTAAATGGAGTGAAAGAATTATTCAGGATTAATCAATGATATTTTTATTTATTTATTTATTTTAGTTGTAGATGTACACAATACCTTTATTTTATTTTATTTTATTTTAGTGGTACTGAGGATCGAACCCAGTGCCTTCTACATGTGAGGCAAGCTACAACCCCAGCCCTAATCAATGATGTTTTGTTAGAAAATATGAGCTTGAATTAATGGGTTAGAGAAGGAAAAGATGCTTTGATTAGACCATGGGTAAATGAGTAAATGAACTTATCTGAAAATTAAGGGAATGATTTCAGAAGATTTGAGATGTTAAACTTCACACTACAGTAAAATATTTAAGTAGAGAAGTCTCTTGGGAACTGTTATGGTTTCAATGTGGTTTGTCCCTGTCAAAACTCATGTTGAAAATTGATTCCCACTGTAACAGTGCTGAGAGGTGATGGGGCCTTTAAGACATGATTAGATTCTTGAGAAGGATTAATGCCTTTCTCCCAGGAGTGATTTCTCCCCCTCAAGGGACTGCAAAAACATATTCTTTTCTAACAGTATGCTTTGCCTCTTTCGCCTGCCTTTTTGCATCTCTACTTTCTACCATGAGTTGAATCAGCATGTGGCAAGCAGACACTAGCATCATGTTCTTGAACTTTCCAGCCTCCAGAATCATGAGCCAAAATAAACCTCTCTTCCTTATAAATTACTCAGTCTCAGGCATTGTTATAGCAACAAAGTGGACTAAGACAGAAACCCAAGAAAAGTAAGAAAGAGTTTGAAGGGAAAAAAGCTTATTATCTATATAGTATGAAAGTAAAAAGGAAGTAAATGAAGGAAAAAATAGAGGGAATAGGAAAAAGTATGTTCTTTGGTAGTCAGTTCCTTTGTGATTAGGCTATTAGAAAGAGATCAACAAAGTAGTAGTCATGAGAAAGAACAGAAAAAAGGAAAGGAGCTAATGAATGAACTTCACTGAGCTACTATGTGCAAGGCATTGTGTCATTTCCAAACATCTCAGTTCATCATTACAACAATACTATAAAATGAGTATTGTTCCCATTTTTACCGACAAGGAAACTGAGCTTGAAGAAATTAAATGAACTGAACAAACTCTGATAGAATAATAACATTTTTATATATTTATCAAGAATCAAGTAACCTACTTTTCGAGTTAGTTGCTTTATATGCTTCTAACAGTCTCATAATCAGATGGAACCTGTTCTTATTCTCATCAACAAGTTCAACCTCATCCACAAAAAGAAGTATACCCCATGAAATTGAAAGGAAAGGAACATTCCCCCAAAACATTCCATAAAGCCAGTATAACCCTGATGCCAAGACCAGACAAAGACTCATCTAGGAAAGAAAACTATAGATGAATATCACTGATGAACACAGATGCAAAAATTCCTAATAGAATGTTAGCAAACCACACTCAAAAACATATTAAGAAGATAATACACTGTGATTAAGTGGGCTTCATCTCAGGGATCCAAGGTTGGTTCAACATGGAAATCGATAAATGTAATTCACCAGTTCAATAGAATTAAGGACAAGAATCATATGATCAGCTGGGTGCAGTGGGGCATGCCTATAATCCCAGTGGCTTGGGAGGCTGAGGCAGGAGGATTCCAAGTTCAAAGCCAGCCTTAGCAAGAGCAAGGCACTAAGCAACTCAGTGAGACCCTGTTTCTAAATAAAATACAAAATAGGGCTGAAGATGTGGCTCAGTGGTTGAGTGCCCCTGAGTTCAATCACCAGTACCAAAAAAAAAAAAAAAAGGAATCATGATAATCTCAATAGATGCAGAAAAGGCCTTTGATAAAATATAGCAACCACTGAGGCTATATACAGCAAACACATAACCAACATCATATTGAGTGAAGAAAAACTGAAGGATTTTCCTCTAAAATCAGGAATAAGACAAGAATGTACATTCTAATCACTTCTATTCAAAATTGTTTTCAAAACTCTAGCAAGAGCAGTCAAACAAAAAAGTAAATTAAAGTATAGAAATCAGAAAAGAAGTCAAACTATCACTGTTGATGACCTAATCCTACATCTAGAACACCCCAAAAATTCTACCACAAGACTTCTAGAGCTGACAAATAATTTAGCAAAGTAGCAGAATACAATATCAATGCTTGCAAATCAATAGCTTTTGTATACTCCAAAATTGATACAGCTGAGAAAGAAATCAGAAAAAATAATCCCCTTCACTCTCAAAAAGAAAAAACAATTGGGAATTAAAGCTAACCAAGGAGGTGAAAGATCTCTACTATGAAAACTATAGAACACTAAGGAAAGAAATTGAAGAGGGCCTCAGAAGGTGAAATGATCTCCTGTGTCCTTGAATAGGTAGAATTAATAAAGCCAAAATGGCCATAATACCAAAAGGACATATATATTCAATACAATCCCCATCAAAATACCAATGCATTCTTCCCAAAACTAGAAAAAAACAAAACCAGTCCTAAAAATCATTTAGAGGAATATGAGACCCAGTACAGCAAAAGCAACTCTAAATAAGAAAAGTGATGCAGGAGGCAATTACAAAACAAAAACAAAGGATTTAGGGTTGTGGTAGAGTGTTTATCTAGCATGTGTGAGGCACTGGGTTCAATCCTCCACATTAAAAATCCACCACATTAAAAAAATAAATAAATGAAATAAAGGTATAACTAAAAATATTTTTTAAAAAACAGCATGGTATTGGCATCAAAATAGACATGAAGACCAATGGAATAGACTAGAAGACACAGAGACAATTCAAATTTTACAGCCTTCTCATATTAGACAAAGGTGTCAAAATATATATGTTGGAGAAAAGACAGCCTTTTTAATAAATATTGCAGGGAAAACTGCCTATCCATATGTAGAAGAATGAATTTAGATCCATATCTTTCACGCTTAACAAAAGTCAAATCAAAACGAATTGAAATTGACAAAACTAAAAGTTGGTTCTTCGAAAAAATAAATAAGATCGACAGACTCTTAGCCATGCTAATGAAGAGAAGAAGAGAGAGAACTCAAATTACTAGCATACGGGATGAAAAAGGCAATATCAAAACAGACACTTCAGAAATACAGAAGATAATTAGAAATTATTTTGAATCCTTATACTCCAACAAAATAGAAGATAGTGAAGGCATCGATAAATTTCTTAAGTCATATGATCTGCCCAGATTGAGTCAGGAGGATAGACACAACCTAAACAGACCAATATCAATTGAGGAAATAGAAGAAGCCATCAAAAGACTACCAACTAAGAAAAGCCCAGGACCGGATGGGTATACAGCAGAGTTTTACAAAACCTTTAAAGAAGAACTAATACCAATACTTTTCAAGCTATTTCAGGAAATAGAAAAAGAGGGAGAACTTCCAAACTCATTCTACGAGGCCAACATCACCCTGATTTCTAAACCAGACAAAGACACTTCAAAGAAAGAAAACTACAGACCAATATTTCTTATGAACATAGATACAAAAGTCCTCAATAAAATTCTGGCAAATCGGATACAGAAACATATCAAAAAGATCATGCATCATGATCAAGTAGGATTCATCCCTGGGATGCAAGGATGGTTCAATATACAGAAATCAATAAATGTTATTCACCACATCAATAGACTTAAAGATAAGAACCACATGATCATCTCGATAGATGCAGAAAAAGCATTCGAGAAAGTACAGCATTCCTTTATGTTCAAAACTCTAGAAAAACTAGGGATAACAGGAACATACCTCAATATTGTAAAAGCTATCTATGCTAAGCCTCAGGCTAGCATCATTCTGAACGGAGAAAAATTGAAGGCATTCCCTCTAAAATTCCCTCTAAAATCTGGAACAAGACAGGGATGCCCTCTCTCACCACTTCTGTTCAACATAGTTCTCGAAACACTGGCCAGAGCAATTAGACAGACAAAAGAAATTAAAGGCATAAAAA